TCTTTAACATGGATATCAACTTCATATTTTCTCACTACCACCGTCATTCAACCAATCATAGGAAGAATTGTGGTTCGTCTAAGTCTGGAGGGGAAACAGCCAGTTTGCCTTACTACCATTCGTTTTCATAGGATGTGGTAGGAAGTAAGCGTCTACTTCTCATCGAGCTGTGGATCTTTGCTCTGGGCAACATCATAGCTGGGACGAGCAAAACTCTCACCCAGATCATTGTTGGGCGGCTCATCAGCGGCATTGGTGGTGCAGGTCTGATGTCTGTGGTTTGTATCCTAGTTTCGCGTGAGTGAGCTTCAGAGAATCATTTCGAACAGGACATAGGCTTTCTCTAATGTTTAGAACTCACCCATGAGCGTCAACGTGCGACATACATGAGCCTGATCAATGCAGTCTTCATCGTCTCAGATGCGGTAGGACCGATCCTTGGGGGTGCTTTGGCCAATTCCGGGAATTGGCGATGGATGTGAGTGCCCAGCTCGAAGATTCAGTTCGTACAGCTGTTGATTCTACGACTTTGTAGATTTCTTCTCAATGCACCAATCAGCCCAGTTAGTGAGTATCAATCTTGTGTGTACATGGTACCACGACCCCAACTACTTTGTAGTTACCTTTCTTATCTTACGTTGGCTGCGCTTTCCTTCCCCAAAAATCTCCGCCACAATGCACATTAGTTCCATACGCGATGTTCTTTCCAAAGTTGATCTGCTCGGGATGTTTACTCTTGTCTCTTGTCTTTCCTTCCTCGTGGTCGCGCTGAATTCTGGAGGACAAACTGCTCCCTGGGGCTCTTCCCTTATAGTGGGTATGCTTTGTGCATTGGGCGTTTCTGGGATTGCATTTTGTGTTGTGGAAGGTCGATATGCCAAAATGCCGATTGCACCTGGGAGATTATTTGTGCGATGGGGTTGGAGAAACGTTCCGATCATGATGATTAATAGGACGCTTCTTTTCTTTCATAACTTTGCGATGGTGAGTAAGGCCACCATTATGAAGGAATATTCTTGATCTCCCTTCGCTTTAGATTTTCTACGTTCCTAGTACGTCGTATGGCTGTATCAAACTCTCTATTCATCTCATTCTCCTACCACACAGTCTTTCTTCAAGTTATTGGCCTTCCGACAGTCACCTCTTCCGCCCTAATCATCCCATTCCTATCCATGGCGGCGATATCTAGCACAGTTGTCAACGCGACTGCGTCAAAATATGGATACGTGAGGACAATATGTTCTTGTGGAATTGCCATCATCCCAATTGGAATGGTGAGTCAATTCGTTATACTCCAACAAGGGCTCTACTCATAAAGGCAATCATGTGCAGGGATTAATGTCCACGCTGAACGAAAAAAGTTCTATTGGAAGAATTGTAGGGTATTCACTGATCTCGGGGTTAGGCTTTGGATCTGTATGTCGCTTCACGTTCTCGTCTATAGCTTGTAACCTACCTTCAAATTTAGGCGACACAAATCACAATGGTCATCGCCCAAGTCGGGCTTCCCGCTGACGAGCTATCTACAGTGACAGCCCTCGTAGGAGCTGCACCGACATTGGGAGGAACGTTGGGCGTCGCTGTTGTGGGTACCGGTAAGCGAATGTCCAGAACATTCCATGAAAATCCAACTGTGGCTCATTTTCTCCATCGCCCAGTCATTAACAACGCCTACAAACAAACCGTGCAAGGATCCGCGATAGCCTCCTCTCTCATTCAGAATAGCAGAGCCAACACGACAATCTCACTGAATCCCTCGGATGTGGTATCAAGTATTTCTTCGCTCGCCCCAGATAGTCCCATACGCAAGGTTCTAATTTCAGCATATGTGTCGGCATGGAGAAAGGGGTGTTATTCTCTCGTAGGAGTGGCGATGTTGCAGCTTGTGCTTTGTGCAATGATGCGAAGAGTAGAGTTTGATTCCTCCTCCAAGGACTCGGAAGGAGAGAGAAGCCCACGAAGCGTGGTTGTCGAGGATTCAAAAGATAGTGCGATGGTTGTGCATACATAATCATAATAACCTAACAACGCTGGTGATTTGATATGGTTGCCGGTATCGATACAACTCTTTCCACACATGGATATCTTACATTTCGTTTGGTGGCGGACGGCGAATACGGGCACGGCGGTTGTATGGGGATCCCAAGGCGCTGTTTTCTTTGTTCACCCACGAATAAAACATGTACTGTATTTATGTTTATCAAAGGTCCTTTCCCTTTCACCCCGTCAAGATTTGGCCACATTTTAAACAAAGATCTGACTCTGAGTGACGGCCACCTTGATACCCGAAAGGGTAGTAGTTGTGGGCCGTCTATTGTGATTTTTTTGCCACCCTGTAACCATTTTTGGGATGTACAACATAAAGGGCAAAGCAAAGCCAAAGCAACAAACCCGATAAAAAGGACCACAACAGCGCCATCGAATCGAATTCAACAGCAGCTTATCCCTAACCAACAAGTTCTTTCAATCGACGACAATATCGCCATGCCACTCACTCGATCTCAAACTCGAAAAAATGCATCACAATCCCCATTCGCTCCTGCAAGCCTAACAGGTGGCGCTCCTCGTCATCGTAATTCGCTGGACCGTCCAATACGGCTCAAGGGCAAAAAAGTTGCCAAAACCTCACCCAATTCCTCTCCACCCACACCTGAAGCTCAGGCCACCTATCGCAAGCTTGAATGCGCCAAGGCTCAGACGTTGCTTCAGGTTCTGACAGATAAGCAGAAAGCTGTCTCGCAGGCACCCAACCAGAAATCACCCAACTTCATACGGAAACCGGTACAGCGCTACGAAACCCCATTGAACCTCGTAGGCAATGCAGTCAAAGATCCCGCTCTCTTAAACGCGCCCAAAGCCAATCGTGTCCGCACACACACACGGCCATCATTCCAAGCTGTGGTAGATGCATTTTCCAATCAACAAGCAGGTCAGCCCCGAGCTCATTGGCAGCGGACGAAGACAGACGACATACTTTACGAGGAGGAAGATTGTGGCGCAGGCCCGGGCGACTCGAATGGGAAGACGGAGAAGAGGTACTTTGATGAGCTCAGTGAGGAAGAGAAAATATGGATGCAGAAATTCGATGCAACTGTTCCTGTCCCTGTTCCATTTGAGGACCAAGAGCAGCTCCGCGAATATATGAACAAGTTCGAAGAATATATGAAGGCTAAGATCAGGGAGAGTATAGAAAGCTAAGAGCGTGGAGCTGTAGTGGAGATTGACGATCGTGTGGCGACTGTAGTAACTAGTTGCGCTTGTTTTATTTGCGATGTAAAGACGGACGGCCAGCCTGTGGCCACCAGATACATCCTACCTATATGATTTTAATTATGAGTCGCCTTCCGTATAGATGAACCCCAACTCCTGTGGACATGTATGTTAGGGATATCGACATTCAACACACATGGATGAGCACATACATGGAATATAATATAATATGGAGTGAGTTCAGACGACCAAAGCAGCTCCCGTCTAATATCCAATCACTGAATGACTCCACCGACAAAATTTCAGCAGAACCACGCTAAAGCACAGGCATCGCGTCATAGATATCCAACTGGGAAGAATTTTGCCCGCTGGTGCCAATTGGGTATGCCAATGAGAAGCAAAACGCCTGAAACGGTCATCGATATGTCATTCCAAGTGCGACACTGACCAACTGTGTAAGGTCTGTCTCTAATTGCACACGCATGACAAAGTTACGCCTCACCATAACCTTTGAGACGGAAAGCGTATATGATTAGTTTATATGTTGGTAATTCGGATGGTTGTAGGATGAACATGTACATGTACAGAATATGATACTTTGTCTTGATCATTGAGTAATGTCCTTGGCTTTGGAAATGATTGTACCATCGTCTGCGATGACTTTGAAGCGGACTATTGAATAAAATGGCGTTCAATTATTCAATGAAGGAGGCGAAAGGTAGGAATTCAAGTGAGACACGCACGAATTTCAAATGGGACGCCTTTTTCTCGACGTATACTGGTGAAGTAGACTGTACCAGAACCTATATGGAATGTCAGCGAAGGTTTCCGCAGGTGATTGGCTGTATGCGCACCTTTAGAACCTTTGATCCTGAAGCTAACATCGATGTTGCCTTGCATAGTGCTAATCTGAACAAACCTGAACGAGGCATATCTTTCAAAAATGGTAGTTTGACACATACTGAGCCAATGATTCTTGGGTCACCATTTAACCACCATTCGCCTTGCATCCGTATGGCATCTCCAAGAACAGCTCGCATTTCCTCGTCCTCTCGTAGCTCCCGCATGATTTGTTTCACCACTGAGCTTGAAATCTTTTCCTGGTTTGTTACATAAGTGAGGAATGCAGTCCATCCAGCTACTCCAATTATAGCGAAAGCTATAATTGTAGGCCAGGTTTTCTAGAAGCGAGAAATGGTTCGGTCAATAGCGAGTTTCTGGAAAAAGAATATAACGTACCTGTAACCGGGGTAAATCTCTTTTCAGAGCAGGAGGTGGGTGCTTCAAATGATATGGACGAGGACGAGACGTCCCAGAATATATTGTAACGTTCGGAGCCTCTGCTGCAGCAGGACCCGGACGACTAGTTGTTGAAAGGTACTGGAGATGCAGACGTGGTAAAGCTGTCGCAACATAAGAGCGACGCGCTATTAGAGATTTGAATACTGTAGGATAGATGTTCATTGTTTTTGCGCAATAATACTTAGGACTGAAGGCCGAGGCTTATAAGGGGAACGGAAAATGCGGAACGGACTGAGTTAGAGCGGAGGAATTCACGTGAATCGGTTCTTGTCTTTACGATTCTCTATAACTTTGAAGTGCAAAAAAGTTGTTCCATGTTCTAACGGCAAGTTATTGAATGCAGTCTTTCTGCTGTAAGATGGAAATCATTGAGCACAACCACCTCGAACTTGGAAGCAACTTGAAGACGTTCTCGCCAAGGCCTCGACCTTTAGCCATTAACTTTGCACTTACTGGGCTGTGGATGCATAATAAGCTACAGGTAGTATGGTGAGATGGCCGAGTGGTCTAAGGCGCTAGATTTAGGCAATTCCTGCTAATCTCTAGTCATTCGTGGCGTGGGTTCAAATCCCACTCTCATCATTTTTGAGTTGGAAGCGATTGGTTTTGGCGATTTTTTTTTCCTGCTGCGAGACAAGGATCTCGTTGACAACTTGAGCAATAAACTAATCTGCTTCAAGTCCGAAGAGCATTTGTTCTGATACTTTCTTATACTGTACTACATATTCACGGAAGTACAAGACAATATTGTCCTATGAAATGAAGGCAACCTAACCGAAACTTTATCGACAACTGTAGGAACTATGGATGAGACTCCAATAAAGTTTGGTTCAGTTGGATCTGCAATTGAACGAGTTCGCAAGGCGAGAAAAGCCCACGGTACTCAGATCGTTGACAGTGCCATTGATCAACTGAGATAAGCCATTGCAAGACTGCCCACTAGCAAACGAGTTAGAAATATGGCTCGAATAAGAAAGAAAGCAGGGAACCTAGCACTTACTTGTAAAGGGTACATGCAATACCACTCGGGGTGGCAGCACTTTGGACGGAGCCGCCCTGTCCATAAGCCACGAGGCTACCGCAGCCTGCAGGTAAAGTAGTGGCCTTCCAAGGCAGACAGTTTTGAAGGTTAACTCCAATGCATGTGGTGAGGATCAAGATGGCATCTGCAGCGTCACTTGAGAGACCATTGAGTGCGACGGCAGGCGCTCCCGGTGTGAGGGCAATGGAGGAGACCAAGGCTGCGTTAAGGAGAGCAAAGAGTGCGATGGATTTGAACATGATGAAGGATTCGTAGTCTTCGTAGAGGGTAAAGCTGAGTAGCTTGCACTGGGGTATTACCTAGCTGACCATCGAGCTTTTTATACGGCAAGTGGCATAATCCAGAGGGGTCGAAGTTCAGGATCCGGTTATCACCTGCCACTGTCCCACTAGTTGAACGGAAGCCTACAGCAGCTATAGTTCATTGTATCCATCTTTTGGATCAGTGATTCGTGAAGGTCAATAACGTGTATATCAACACTTGACTGGTTCTACATCCTCTCTGGTGGCGTAGAGTACCTTTACGCTAACCTCTGGCAAATGTATCGATTCCCTTCTTCGACGAGTAGTAAATTAGGGGGCAATGCATTTAGGAAAAAATCGGCTTCTGAGCAACGTCCTCTGCGCAGTAGCGGCAGATTGAACTTGGTTTTCAGCATTGGGGGAAACACGAACGGTTACAGGCAGCTCTTGCGCAACTATGTAAAGCATCATTCCGTGGGTTGTCCGATGTAATGTGTTCGTTCAGCTAGGGCGTTGGATTCGGCATCTCACTCGATATTTAACCCGTTGGCCTGACTCGGACATTGGATCAGCTCATAATTGCCACAGATAGGAGGGTACGTCCACTGGAAGCAGCAAGGGGCTGCAAGGGGTCGGCGTTCCACAATCAATCGGTCAGGAAAACGTAAGTTTAATTAAGGGCTTGTTGGGGAACTGCCGCCAAACTGCCGCTAAAGGCCATGAGCCGGACGCCTAGCCCGGATAGCCCACGCCATGAAACCTGTAACAGACAATTTCTTTTCTTTCGTGTTTGTTAGACGTCGATCTAGCAACTAGAAAGGATACTCCCTCGTTGATGGTCTTGTGATGTAAATGGAGATTAAGCACATTGAATATATGAAGAGCTAAGCTGCTTCACGAAATTTGAAACCCAAAGAACATTTTAGTATACTTTCTGATACCGCATTACAGGTTCGCGAAGGTATAATAACTATCTTTTTCCTTGAGTTGAATGCACCATGACCGAAACATATTGTTTTTTTAACTCCTGTTTGATTGCCGTTGCGCTAGAGCATATGGTAGCGAGACTACAACCGCAAGGTACCATGTAGTTGCACTGCCGGAGACATCATTGGCAACTGTAACGTTCCACAGATGGAAAAAAAACTCACCATGTATGTACGCACAACAGGCAAAACTCCAGTAGAGTTAGATTCAATTGGATTGGCAAGTGAACGAGTTCGCAACTTTGGAAAAGCCCACGACACTCAAATCATCAAGAGTACCGTCGACCAGTTGTGATGAGCCAGTGCAAGCTTCCCCACTAGCAAACGATTTGAGAACTTCAAAAGAGGAAAGAAAGCAGGGAGGTATTTACGTGAAAAGGGTACATTCAACGCCACTCGGGGTGGCAACACTTTCAACCAGGTCGCCCTGTCCAGCAGCGATGAGGCTACTGCAGCCTACAGGTAAAGTAGTGGACGTCCAAGTCAGACAGTTTTGAAGGTTTACTTCGTTGCATGTGGTGAAGACCAAGATGGCGTCTGCGATGTCGCTGACAAGACCCTTATGTGCGACAGCAGGGGGCGCTCTTGGTGTTAGAGCAACGGAGGAGACCAAGGCTGCGTTAAGGAGAGCAAAGAGTGCGACGAATTTGAACATGGTGAAGGATTCGTAGTGTTCGTAGAGGGCAAAGCTGGGTTGACTTAGCTTGAGCTGGGGTATGACCTGACTGACCGTTGAGCTTTTATATGTTCAGGAAGCATGATCCCAAGGGGTGGAACTTTAGACTCTGTTGATCAGCTGCTGTCCCGCTGGTTGAACCTCAGCATACAGCAGTCATAGCCCATCTCCATCTTTCTGATCGCGAAGGTCAATAACGTAGCGTATATCAAGACCACTTTGAATGGTTGTACATTCTCTTCAGCGCCGGGTAGACAGCAGAATCACGCTGGCCTATGACAGATGTATCGGTCTGCGTGCTTCGACAAAAAAAAGCCTGATAGAAAGTTAGGCACAATGCATTTGTAATCACCTAACAATAGCTTTTGAGCAACGTCTTCGACCCAATAACGGCGGGTGAAATTCGAGCATTTGGAGAAAAACACAAGTAATGTTGAACGGTTTGAGGAAGCCGTCGTGAAATTCTGTTGAGCATCCCGTTGTCCAATACAATGCGTTCAGCTGGGGCGTTGGAATTGACATCACTCAATACAACTCGCTGTCAGTAAACTGAAGTTTCGATCAGCTCGTACTTGATTGCCACAGATAAGATAGAAAAGTACATACTAGAATAGCGACGACCCACTGGAAGAAACAAACGTGCTACTGGGTTTATGGTACCCTGGACTAGTTTCCTGAGCGGGTCTTTGTTCCCTTCGCCAGTTTCTTTCCTAACTCGCGCCGCCGATGGGAGATAGCAAAGCAGCTGGTCATTCTTTCCGAATCTTCGAACGTGATTGAGTACTATACTTGGCAGCAGGCACGGGCAAGCTGGATTGTGAAAAAAAAAATGAGCGTGCCGAGCTACTAGTGATTTGTCGGAGTAGTACAATGGTGTCAAATCATTCTTCGACGTTGAACGTCGTCGTCGAAATCAACAGTGAACATTGGGCGTCGAAAACCCGAGCTTACTAATATTGTTCTAGTGTGGCAAAGTCCGTATTAGTAGAGTAGCGGAAGAGCTTCGAGAAGAAAAGATACTATTATCAGGAAGTAATACGTTTCCAGGTCAATGGTTATGGATAAAAGGAACAGGAGGTAGTTTGTACGCTGATGCAGGACAGTTATTGAATGACACGCACTCGTGTACATGGGGAATGATAATGATAAATGGATTTAGAGACAAGTACCTTGGCTTTTACCTTGACAAGACACAGCGCGACTTCAGAGTTTGCCCACACAATCTCAATATGAATCAGATACTCACATATTCCCTCAAATATCTGCATCAATGAACAGTCTGACACAAGTTATTTACAAATCCATTTGTTCAATATTTTAAACTTGATTGCAAGAAGAACTCTCAAAGTATGTTAGTATGTATCTACGCAGTCCGTAGCAGCGCTAGAGATTTCGCTTAGAATCATGACATGAGGAACAGAAATTGGGGTTCGAATTTAGCTGAAGACACGCCTTGCTAGCGTTTGTATCAAGAGCGTCAATGGCACGGTGATTTGAACTTGAACCGTTGAAGCTGCCGTTGCGTCATCATGAAAGCTTGATAGCACCTTTCGCACACTCGATAGTCCAACCTTCCTGATAAAGACCCGGCACGCCGCTAATGGAACGAGCAAATCAACATTGGAATAGAGTACATGGTGTAATTGAATCATGTTGCAGTCATAGGTCCAATGGTGTAGGTCGAATGTAGGTCCAGTTTTCCATGTTTTCCACGTCATGTCCATTCTGATTTTTCCATCTTCATCAACACGCGTAAGGTGCGAGGTGTTCTAGCCGATTCAGGTATTTTCCTTGTATTTTCCAATCTAGATTAGGCTTTGTTGCTATTCTTTGAACATATGATTCACTGGCGAAATGGGAAAAAGACAACACTTGTTTAGAAATTGTTGTTCAAAGGCTGTTCATGAAAATCACTATAAAAGATTGAACGTGGCAAAGAAGCACCGAAATGTAGATATAGGTTCAAACATACCGATTATGCGTCCCTTCTCTCAGAGCCCACTTACGCCACATAAACAACACATAAATCGCAGGTTGCGAATTCATTTATTCCCATTTTCTTTGTCATGTCCTCCTCTCACAGGCATCCATCCACAACTATCGCACGCACAAACACGCCACCTCGAGATTTGAGGGTTCCAGCAGCACCAGCCAGTTTTAAGCGCACCATTGACCTCCCTCCGGAGCCCGATGACTACGATAGAAATGGTCCATATCCAGCAGGAGGCTTCGATGCCGACGACGAAGACATTGAAATGCAGCGATATCTTGAGCAGATGTACATGAGCTCAAAGAAGGCCGAATCCTTTACACCCAAGAGGAGCTCAAAGAAAAACGAAACGGCTGAAGATTTTGGCTTCAGTGGATTGGGTCTGATCGATACTAGACCTAACGACCACGATACCCATAACTTGAAGCATAAGCTCAAGGACGATGAAGCAAGGAGGGACAAACACAGGAAACAGGATCACCGCTTCGAGGTGATGGCTGGCAGTAGTAAACAGGCTTTAGCTAAGCATACAGCGGCGAGGGACTTTGTAGAGGATAGGAGTTTGAGTCAAAAGGTCCGTCGCGAGGATGCAAGCAAATTGGAGTTGAGAGGATTTAACGACCTCCCCGAAAACGAGCCTGGGGAG